AAACTGATGGCTCAGGTAAACACATCTGTCGATTCCACTGAGCTTGATCCGAATGTAATTTCAACTGAACTCAATCCCACTGAAATGCTGATGCTATTGAAAGGACTGATGTAGACCTGAAATAATCCGATCAACAGGAGAAAGTAAAGCAGGTAAACACTTGAATATAGCTATTTAAATCAGAGTAAACATATCTATGTGCATGTGCAGTGGCATTATCTATTTATGTCATACAAGTGCACGTATGTTTTACTAAAATAACTTAAAATGAAATAAAAATGTATTACTATAAATACATAAAAAACAGAAAAACACAAGCAAATCACTAAAATAGACCGATAGACAGATATTCAGATAGACATTCAATATTCAGATATTAGGAAAGATATTTGATATTCAGAAAGATATATATAGATGGATGGATGGATAGATAGATATTCAGATTAATATTTAATATTCATATATTCAATATTCAGATAGAAATAGATACATATTTAGATAGATATTTGATATTCAGATAGACAGATATTCGATATTTAGGCAGATTGATATTCAGATTAATATTTTATACTCGGATAGATATTCAGATTAATATTTAATATTCAGACAGATATTCAATATTAAGATAAAAATAGACAACTACTTAGATATTTGATATTCAGATATATATTCAGATAGAAATAGACAACTACTTAGACAGATATTTGATAATCAGATAGATATTCAATATGCAGATAGATATTCAGAATAATATTTAATATTCAGATAGAAATGTAATATTCAGATAGAAATAGATAGATATTTAATATTCAAATAGATATTCTATTAGACAGATCAGATAGATTGATAAATTTCAGTCAAATAATTAACCAGATAGATATTTGATATATATTCAATAGATAAATATAAATAAATAAATAAAAATGACCCAAAAAAAAATGTAATCCCAAACTTTAAATTTACACTAAAGACAGGAACATAAAAAAATAAAAACTAATTGGAAATATGAATAAAAACTCAATGACACTAAATGATGCAAGCTTTATACGCACACATTTTCATCAGTTTGAATGAATCCAGTCTGATTTTAAGCTGAAGCTGGAACTATGCTGTTCATTCTGATCCGAAAGCAAAGATGCTAAACGCTCCGAGAGACAGGAATGCTCTCGTGTTTAGAGAGTTTGGACCGATCAGACGCTCTCAGAGTGGAGAATGTGTTGTTTCTGAGAATGAGCAAAGTGATTATCATGTACAGTAGGCCCTGCGATTATTTAAATATTTGAAAGTAATTCAAGGACATTCAGACAGTGACATGTGTTTCCAAACACTTTTTGGGCCTCTATTCAAGATTCTTTCTTTCAAACAAGATGTCTGAATAGTGTGAGTAAACAGAATATTTACTTGGATCAAACAGAAATCATATTTGTACATATTTGCATACTGTGAAGAGATTGTCAACCTCTGTTCTTGTTTGATTTTTGGGAGAAAACATGTGCATTGTATTTCTAATCACGCAGCTAATATTCACAGCCCATCATATTAGAAATATCAAATATGCTTCCCAGTGAACAATAGCTGTAATCAATCCAGAGTTCCCATAATCAACAGATGCAGCAATACTCACCATGACTGACTCGCTCGTGTCTTAATCACTATGGTGACCAGATGAACCGTGACTATCAGAAACATTCACATCCGCTGAGTTAATAGTGACACAGTGATGGTGAAACTCCACAAATATATTATGAAAGTCACGGTTTGACTTGGAAAGTTTGAGTGCAAATTTGACTGTAGAAGACAAAACACTTGGTAATTTATCATGCGTTTTCTCTGGCTCTGTTTGGCCAATCACTGCTGCGCTATTGATGCCGTGGACCTTAAACATTCAGACAAAATGTAAAAGAATTAATGGTACATGAAGCATCAAAATGAACCTTATTAAGGATTTGAGAAACTGGAAAGATGGTTTCCCAGAGGCCGTTTTTCCTTGTTTAAAATGCATCGTCAATGACTGTGCAGGAATAATTGGCGCCTTGGAACTTGGATCGTCTTGAATAGGAAAAATCAATGTGGCCTTTGAAACATAAAGGACCGAATGCTCTTTGTTAATCTGATGTCTGATCGTCCCAATACTGGATGACGCACAAACACTAGACGCTCCTGAGATAGATAGATAGATATATCTATAAAAAAATAAAAAAATAAATAAAAAAAATATCTAAATGCGATGGCGCCGCAGACGGCAGCCTCAGTGTTTGGCTCTCCAGTGTTTGTACTGTTTTTGTTAGTTTTTCCTGGTTTTTGTTTCTGAAACACGATCAGTTTTACCAGGGCATGTGCAAACATACTTGGCAATAAAGCTCTTTCTGATTCTGATTCTGAGATAGATAGATAGATAGATAGACAGACAGATAGATATTCGAAAGATAGATAGATGGATAGATAGATAGATATTCGAAAGATATAGATATTCGAAAGAAAGATAGATAGATAGATAGATTTTCTCTATTTTTGGCATCAATGACACTTTAACTCTGACTCATTATTGACAGAGCAGGTGAATGAATGTGTGTCTGAAAACATTTTGATGAAGCTGAGTATCATCTGCGAGTCTCAGGTCGGCAGACTGAGCATTTCTCTTCATCTTACTGGAGGATTGAGCGCAGGCTCGTCTCTCAGGAGGCGTAATCACAGATAACGAGCTCTTAAGTTTTTGCGCTTGAGATGGTTACTTCAGGATTTGCAGTTTTTAAGTAGGTTCAAGAGGCTGAATTATCACTTGAGAGCAGATTGAAATATTCTGCTACTACCTATTATTACTCCAGCTTCTCCATTTGCTCTCTTTATATTGAAAGCTCTCATAATGCACTATTATGTTAAGAATCAGAAACGTCAAAATCTTAATCCTCAGTGTAAGAGGTGATGTTCATGTGTTTATATTCAGTGTGACTCCGCTGAGAACGAGAGCCACAGGCGCTTCATCAGAGTATAAGATCAAGAGCTGCATCACTTGCTGAAGGGGAAAAAGTTCACACTGCAATTCAAACAGTGAAATGATAAACATCTTATATTGCTGCTGCTTAGATATCAAGACAACAATATTTTAGGACCTGATCTGGACTGCAGTCAGATATTCAGATGATAGATAGATAGATATTCGAAAGAAAGATAGATAGATAGATAGATAGATAGATGGATAGATAGATATTCGAAAGAAAGAGATAGATGGATAGATAGATAAATAGATAGATATTCGAAATATAGATAGATATTCGATAGATAGGTAGATAGATAGATAGATAGATAGATATTCGAAAGATAGACAGATAGACAGATATTCGAAATATAGATAGATAGATATTCGAAAGATAGATAAATACGGTAGATAGATAGATGGATAGACAGATAGATAGATAGACAGATATTCGAAAGATAGATGGATAGATAGATGGATAGATAGACAGATAGATAGACAGATAGATGGATAGATAGATAGACAGATAGATAGATAGATAGACAGATATTCGAAAGATAGATAGATATTCGAAAGATAGATAGATAAATACGGTAGATAGATATATAAATAGATGGATAGATAGACAGATATTCGAAATATAGATAGATGGATAGATATTAGATAGATGGATAGATAGATAGACAGATATTCGAAATAATGATAGATAGATAGACAGATAGATAGATGGATATTTACTAATAAAAAAATTTGAACTTTGACTTTATAGACAAAACCAGTTGTAAAAAATAGCAACATCTCTTCTTTTATGTTCCACTGAAGAAAGTAAGTCATTCAGGTCTGAAACAACATGAGGATGAATAAATGATGACAGAATTTGAGTGGTTAAGTAGCTACATATTTCTGTTGAAATTATATTTTATTAACCCGATGCACCTGCTGTGTTCTTCAGTATTGCTCATAATAGTGTTGGGCGATATGCTCAATTATGCTCAGTCGTCAGCCTGTGAGATCGCCGATACACGATATTATTGTGCTAATTTATTTAATTATTTATTTACTTAGTTTCATCGCCGGAAAGTGAATCATCTCCAGCGTAAGGCTAAAAGCAGCCTAATGTTTTTAATATGACTGAATTTGTATTTAACACGATAACAAATTAATAGAAACATCGGAAGTTACTAATTATAATGCTTACATTTCCTCAGTTATTCAAAAAGCAGCTACAGAAAACGAGCAAAGAACAATACATTACCAAAGAACATGATCACAAGCTCAGTCTAGCGCGAGTTTAACCCTAGCTCATAAGCATATTCCATATTATTCTAGTTAATATTAATGAAACTTTCATGAATATCAAAGACACACATGGACGTTGCCAGAGAAACAAACAATCTCCGAGCGCGAGGAGGCGAGCGGTTCGGAGCGGGATCTCAGTCGTAATAAGCAATAAGCAATAAGCCCCGTGAATAAGCCGTGGTTTACAGTGAATTTATAACAGCTAAGGGGGTTAGCTCCGCTTCGCGTCGTACGTAACAACGCCCCTTAGCTGTTATAAATTCACTGTAAAATAGATAGATAGATGGATGATGGATGGATGGATGGATGGATGGATGGATGGATGGATGGATGGATAGATAGATCGATAGACTAGATGGATAGATAGACAGATAGATAGACAGATAGATGGATAGATAGATAGACAGATAGATAGATAGATAGACAGATATTCGAAAGATAGATAGATATTCGAAAGATAGATAGATAAATACGGTAGATAGATATATAAATAGATGGATAGATAGACAGATATTCGAAATATAGATAGATGGATAGATATTAGATAGATGGATAGATAGATAGACAGATATTCGAAATAATGATAGATAGATAGACAGATAGATAGATGGATATTCGATAGATAGATAGATATTCGAAATAATGATAGATAGATAGATAGATAGGTAGATAGATAGATAATTAATTGATAAAATCATATGTCGAAGTGACGCTCTTCAAAACGTTGTTTGCAGGATTGAATAAATATTTTTATTGAAATATTCGGAGGCACAGCATGCGGTTCAGTGCATGGAAATGAAACAGCAGCATCAGAGAGAGACGGAAGCCCCGTTCCTCATGTTCTTTACCATGTGTTTACTCATGTCAGGAGCGTGAAGAGATGCGGGAAAGACGCGGCCTCCGGCGTCAGCGGGTTACTCCGCACATCCACACTCTTCAGAGCAGGCATCAGAGACAGCTTCTCCATCGGCAGCTCTGAGAGACAGACACGAAGAGATGTGAGACGTGTGCAGCATCGGCCCTTCAGGTTCAGAGACATACTCTTCTTACAATCTCCTCCAATATCAAGAGAGACAAATGTGACCCTGGAGCACAAAAGCAGTCTTAAGTCGCTCGGGTATATTTGTAGCAATAGCCAACAATACATTGTATGGGTCAAAATTATACATTTTTCTTTTATGCCAAAAATCATTAGATATTAAGTAAAGATCATGTTCCATGAAGATATTTTGTAAATTTCCTACCGTAAATATATCAAAACTTAATTTATGATTAGTAATATGCATTGCTAAGAACTTCATTTGAACAACTTTAAAGATGATTTTCTCAATATTTAGATTTTTTTGCACCCTCAGATTCCAGATTTTCAAATAGTTGCATCTCAGCCAAATATTGTCCGATCCTAACAAACCATACATCAATGGAGAGCTTATTTATTCAGTATATATTCATGTATAAATCTCAATTTTAAAAAATTGACTCTTATGACTGGTTTTGTGGTCCAGGGTCACAAATGTTTACTTCATTAAGAAAAACACTTTACAAAAACAAAGCAATGCATAAAGATCAAATACGGACCCTTTGATTAATTTCTCATAAGCTAAAACATGCACTTCATATTTTTTTCCTCATTGAAATGTTTTAAACCTGTAGAAATGAATAGTACAGATCAGATTAGATGGCAACAGCGGTTTTTACATGAATGCATTTAGCAAACAGCGTTTGCAGTCTAAAATGTCATGTTTATTACACTCTAAAAATAACACTATGGTCTTTCCCTTCACTGAAAACACATTAAATAATACTTAACTTCGCATTTATTCTCCTTATCTAGTCCTATGCGAGGCATGCTGGGAACTGAATACTAAAAAACAAATTTTATAATATATAAAATACTAATATTAGTTTCTAAACTCAAAAAAAAAAAAAAAATATTTAAAGAGTTTTCATAATAATGTTGATTATTAAATTAACTTATTGTATTTAATGTAAACACATTTCTGTGTTGATTTTGTAAAGAAATGAGTGAGTTTGCATTACATACAGTTATTATGAAAACTCTTTAAATGTTTTTTTTTTTCAACTTAAAAAAAAAGGTTTAATTAAATGAATAAATTATTATTATTATTATTATTTTAAACTTGCGACCATGCATTTATGTAAGTTGTGGTAACAGGTGCAGTGAATTAATTATTAGAGTGCTTATGGTCCCATTAGTTAATTCATTAACTAACATAAACTAATAACAAGCAATACATCTGTTACAGTAGTTATTAATCTTTGTTAATGTGAGCTGATAAAACAATTGTTCATAGTTAATGTCAATAATATGAACACACAAGGTTTGATTTTAATAATGCATTACTAAATATTAAAATCAACATTCACTAAGACTATTAAATGCTTAAAGTATTTTTCATGTTATCTAATGTAGTTAAATCTTTATCGAAATTTGTTGCCATTTATATTTTACACAAAATGAGGATCACATGACCAGGTGAAGCCTGAAATGAGAGCGTGATCAGCCGGTGAAATAATGATTAGAATAATCAGAAATTATTAATAATAATAGTAAATGTTTCTTGAGCAGCAAATCAGAATATTAGAATGATTTCTGAAGATCATGTGACACTGAAGACTGGAGTAACGATGCTGAAAATTCAGCTGCGCATCACAGAAATACATTACAGTTTAACAGATATTCACATAGAAAACAGCTATTTTAAATAATAAAAATATTTCAACATTTTTAAACTATTTTTGATCAAATAAATGCAGCTTTTGTGACTAGAAGAGACTTCTTTCAAAAACATTACCAACCTCAAATCTTTAAACAGTACAGTGCTATATGTCTTAATGCACTGGATAAAATATTAAATTCATATTACTTAGTTTCCAATTATCACAATATGGAGTGTATTTTAAATAATTTCTCTCTTTGGCTTTGATTGCATGTTCAGCGTTGCTTGAATATTGCTGATCTCTGACCAGAAGCGGATTCGTTCATGTGGAAATCAGAAGTTGGTGTTTTGTGGACAGTGAGCTTGTGCATCGTCTTAAATTAATTATTAATGCAAACATGCATTTTTTAATAGATCCAGAAGCACTGGGTGGGCTTGAATTGTGTTGACAGTAATGAAATGTGCAGATGCACTTAACAGATCATGATTTACTGCGACAGAATCTGCCATTTTCAACTTTCCATCTAATTCTAAACAACTTTGAGAGTTTCGGTTCTGCCTCAAACTTTCTGACATCATCTGAAAAACAATATACACTTAGTTTGAGAAGAAACTTTTCAGTCTGTTTGACGAGTTTGGTTGGTTTGAAAGCCATTCAGTTCTTGTAGTTTGTATTTGCATTCTGACATTATGGTCATGAGAATTAAGCACAAGCTCATTAATGTGATGCAAAAATAATATTGTAATTATATATGATGATTCAATTGTTTTACAGCCTTTAATTTATGCTGATTTTACTAAAAAAACATGATTTTCATTACAGTATTTCTAACATGGTTATTTTAGTATCACAAATATGCTATTATGGTTTTTATTATTTTGAATTAGTTTTTATTTTTATATTTTCTGTTTTCTTTTTTTTTTTTTTGCATGCTTTTGTCATTTTTATTAGTTTTTAAATATGTCTAGTTTTCATTAATTTTTATTTACACACACATTAAAATAATTTTTATTTTATTTAAAGTCACAACCACACATCAAGACATTGTTCAGATGATTTGCGTCAAGACATTTGACATGTTTCCGTCCTGAAATCTCGTGTGTGTTGAACTAAGTTTTTTACGCACCTCATCCCAAACCTTCTGTTGCAAATTCCAAAACATAATTTTAGAGCTAATAACAGAGGCTTGAGCCATTGATATGCAGGCTAACGCAGTTATTAATGCAGTCTAATGCTGCGGTTATTAGAGCGAGAGAGAGAGATTAAGCGCGTGTGAATACCTGAGTCTGTGCGTCTCTCAGCAGCGTTCAGCAGCAGCGTGTACTAATAGCGAATCTTTAAGTTAAACTGCTTCAAGAACCTCGCTACTGAGAAATGTCATGTAGCTTTTCAGCTGCGAAACTATTTTATTGATAAATTCGCGGTGCAGCGCTGACAAGAAGTTTCTTTTCGCATCTCCGCGTGTGTGAGAGAACGGGAGAAAGAAAGCGTGATTTCCGTAGCCTACATAAAAAAGGTGGAAGACATGGAAATATTTTTTACCCTATTGTTTGTTATATTTATTTGCTCAATGTCTTCTTGGGTTTTTGGTTCTTTTACTGTTGTAGATAGCCCATAGTATAACAAAATATTATATATCTCTGCACTGTGTTTGGGCCCCCCTGGACGTAAATAATGCGTAAATCTGGCCCTGTGTGTGTGTGTGTGTTTGTACCTCTGTCCTTACATAAAACAGATGTATTCGTGTGTTGCATAAATGTGTGATTTCAGGGAAGAAGCGCCGATCTGTCCATCAGTTTTCTCTTAAAAACTCGGTATGAATGACGGGCCTAATGAGAGTTAATTACCCTGTTGCCTTGTTATAGTGTTTGTCACTGCTAGAACACTTCATGCTCGTTTCACTAGGTTTGGAATGTAATTAAACAGAGAATTCACCCAAAAATAAATGTATGAAAACGGACAAAGTATATATATATATATATATATATATAATGTATAAATAGATTTTATAAATAATTTTATTTATAAAAAAATATTTATTTAAAAATATTATGATGTTATCGCTAACTTAAACTTATATTATGTTATGACTAACTTAAACTAAAAATTAGAACTATTACAAATAGTTTTTTAGTAACTGAAATAAAGCTACAATAAAGCTAAAATAAAATTAAATAAAATTAAAATTAAAACGATATAGGAATATCTTTAAAAAAGTAAAAATGACAAAAAGCCAAAATGACTAAAATGTAAATAAATAAATAATACTAAAATAACACTAGAGCAGATTGGATATTATGCTGAAGTCATGCAGGTTTGGAATGCTGCAAATCACAAATCTGGAAACATTACAGAAACAGTGTGACACTTCGTGTCAGGGTGAGCTATTGCATTATAATGCATCTAGTTAATACTGTATGTCCGGTCACCTGTGATCTGGTTCCCCTCCACGCTGATGTGCTGGAGGCTGCTCACATCCGTCAGGCGCTCGGGGAAAACCCTCAGCTTGTTTCTGGAGACATCGATGCTGATCAAGTGCTGCATGTTTCCAACCGCCTCCGGCAGTGTTGTGAGGACGTTACCCTGCAGATCCACCTCTACAGCGAGACGAGAAAACCCTACTTCAACAAAACCATGCTGATGTCTAAACCATGTGTCTAGAGCCTGCTGCTCTAGACACACACTGAAGCTTCATCTCTTACCTCTTAACTGAGTAAACGTGAGGAAGAACTTGTTGCTCAAGGCTTTGATCTGGTTGTTGGCCAGAGAGATTTTCTGGATGTTGTCTGTGCGGCTGCGGATCATCTTGAAGACGCCGTCAGGGAAACTAACGAGGCCACAGTCGGACAGATCTGAGGCAGAAAACAGAGTTGATTCAGACTGACTCTGGCATCAGAGGTTAATATGAGCGCTCTAATGAAGAGATTGTGTTGTTCAAAGAGCCGTCGCCTCTGTATATCAACAAGCTCCCATTGTGCAATCACTCAGCAAATCACACCGAGCACTATCAGACTGACGGACAGAATTAATGCAGTCATTTGCAGGCTCTTGATGTGTGTGTGGACAATCAAAGTGTTGGGCTTCACAATGCCGCTGATTGCCATTTAGGTTTATTTACTCTTGGCATTAAATGACTGATATGATGATTTAAGGAAAATATCACTTGATAAATTGGAAAATGGTCAAAATCAAGCAAATATGTGATTTAGAGGAGCTTCTCAGCACAATAGCACCATCTACTGAGCACAGGCTGAACTAAACAGTCCATCAATAATAACAATAAAAATGATCAAATAAACCATGAGGAACAATAGGGTGTTTTTTTTTTGTTGTTTTTTTTTTTGCAATTAGACAGCGCTGCATCTTGGAAAAAAACTAATATTACCCGATTTGGTGATGCTGAGTTAAAAAAATACATCAAAATAATCAATAAACTTTCCATGTAGAAAATAAGAATGAAGATTAAAAAAATAAATACATAAAAAAAAATCAATAAACTTTCCATGTAGAAAATAAGAATGAAGATTTAAAAAATAAATACATACAAAAAAAAAAAAATACAATAAAAACTTTCCATGTTGAAAATAATGAAGATTAAAAAATAAAATAAAATAAATAAATATACAATAAAAACTTTCCACGTAGAATAAGAATGAAGATTAAAAATAAATAAATAAATAAATCAATAAAAACTTTCCATATTGAAAATAACAATGAAGATTAAAAAAAATAATAATAATAAAAAATAAATAAAAAATATACAATAAAAACTTTCCATGTAGAATAAGAATGAAGATTAAAAAAAAAAATAATAAATCAAAATAATCAATAAAAACTTTCCATGTAGAAAATAACAAAGATTAAAAAAATAAAATAAATAAAAAATAAATAAAAATATACAATAAAACCTTTCCATGTTGAAAATAATGATACATAAAAAAAAATCAATAAACTTTCCATGTAGAAAATAAGAATGAAGATTTAAAAAATAAATAAATGAACAAACAAATTAAAACAGTTATATAATATATATATATATATATATATATATTATTTAGTGTAATTATTAAAATAACAATTGCAATCTAAAGTTTCGTTTTTAATGCCAAAACTGAGTATTCAAAATGTATAATTTAAATTACAGACTGCAAAAATGTGGAAAAATGTATTCATATACACCATGTAATTTCAAAGAACTTAACATAAACATAACTTTATAAGTATAAGCTTTTTTCCACAAAATCTGTATTCTGGCACTGTTTGGATGCAGTAAAACACTCACAGATGTTGCATGCTTGCATTTTTTTCTGTCACTGGCTTTAATTCTAACCTTGCAATCAGCATTAGGTATAAAAAATGTCATGCATGTAAAAATGGGCTGTGAGGTGAACAAACAGTTGCAGTGTGGCTCAGATTCAGACAGGAATCACATGTTTGTGATGCTTCTCTGCTGCTTAAGGGAGAATACAAGACATCTTCACCTTACAGATGGTTGAAAAGCATCGTATTTTGGGAGAAAGTGCAAAATAGGCACTATTTTTGGAATCAGCAACACAAAATGAGTCAGAATCGAGTCTTGGATCTCATTCAGCAGATCTGATGCAGGGCGGTGTCTTCAGTAAAAACATTTAAACATGTCAGTGACTTTTACAAGACAGGCATTTAATTCTATATGTGTCCCTGGAGCACAAAAGCAGTGTTAAGTCGCTGGGGTATATTTGTAGCAATAGCCAACAATACATTGTATGGGTCAAAATTATTGATTTTTCTTTTATGCCAAAAATCATTAGGATATTAAGTAAAGATCATGTTCCATGAAGATATTTTGTACATTTCCTACCGTAAATATATTAAAACTTAATTTTTGATTCGTAATATGCATTGCTAAGAACTTCATTTGGACAACTTTAAAGATGATTTTCTCAATATTTAGATTTTTTTGCACCCTCAGATTCCAGATTTTCAAATATTGTCCTATCCTAACAAACCATACATCAATGGAAAGCTTATTTATTGAGATTTCCGCACCCAGCGAGTCCCTCTGCTCCTCCATGGTGGCGTTGATCCTGCGTGCGACGTTGGCCACGGCCTGCGCCATCCTGTTGGGCTCGCGTTTGATCTGAGGAGTGATTTGTGCGTTCAGTGGCGTCTGTTACTCGTGCACAGGAAGTCACAGGAGTGAGCCACGGACAGCTTCCTGCCAGAGCGCACAAACATGCAGTGACATCATGAACCTGACTGGAGTCATCGATATCTGCTCAACAACACGATTATTAGTCTGCATGTAAAATATGTCTGCCTATATCATTTTATTTTTATTAAAGAAATAATAAAAGATAAATAAAAAATTAATTAATAACTGTGTGTGTGTGTGTGTGTGTATTTATATATATTTACTAAATATTATAATTTTAGTTATTAGTTTCTTTATGAATTATAAATACAACAAACTTATATATATATATATATATATATCATTTATAAAGAAACTAATAACTAAAATTATACTGTTTAATAAATAATTAGGTTGTTATTTAGGTATATCACATTACTAATTAAATATTACTTATTATAATATTAGTTATTAGTAGATAATTATAATGTTGTAGTAAATAATAACTGCAACTAATAATAATATTTGTTTTGGTAATTGTGCATGCATTGATACTGATGTGTGTGTGTGTGAAATATTTATATTTATTATTTTATTGTATTTTAAATAAATATATAATATGTTATTTACTACAAAACAATTATTTATGACTAATGTTATAATAAATAATATGTACTAAATAGTTATTTAGATATATCAAATACAATATTATTTATTATTGTATTAGTACTAAATAATTATTGTTTTGTAGTAAATAATGAGAACCTGCCGTTAAACAGCCAATTACATTTAACTTCCAAAACATAACGAGGCCCAAAACAATTCATGACACAGCAGAAATGTATAAGGTAATACAGGAACATATCAAGCCACTGGCCAACAGAAATATTAATTTTAATATTTTTAAGCAAAATCACAGCTGCTAAAACAACTGTGACAACCTGCCCCGCCCTGATATTTTTTAACATACTTTTGTCCTAAAAACACAGTTTAACCTTTCATTTCAAATCTACCTTCATCTCGTAGTGATATTGCTTTAGTGTATTAATTTCTTTGTGTAATTATGATAATAAGCGAAGCATTCTACATCTGACAGACAGTAAGCAGCTGAACAGACAAATATAGATTATTAATAGCACGAGTATTATTATGACATCTGAACGAACATTGTCATATTATGTAATGTTACGTAAAGATCACTAATATGAATGGACTGCAGTATTATCGATCAGTTTATGATATGAATGACGTCACGCCGAACTAAAAGCGTTAAAAGTATAAACACGAAGCATTAGAAGCTGTACAATAAAGCAGAACGTTGGTTTAGAGCTGTAAACCCTCACATTCAGACATGCGAAGCGGCCTCACCGTCTCCATTCACCGGACTGATGACTTTATGTGTGTTATTATTATTATTATGTGTGTGTTTATGTTCTGTCAGGCGAGACCGAGCACACCGCTGCCGGATTCCGCGCTCAACTGTCGTAAACACACTCACGCCGAATTGTTTGACGGCAGCAGGAGCTGCAAAAAAACAATAACAAGGTTCGATATTCATTCACAGATTTAGATTTTATTTTCTGTTTTAATTTTGCTTTGGTAATTGGTGTAGCGTTGTGAGAACATTGTTTAAATTGAGGAAAAAGAAGAGGAAAATTCATTTTAAGTGTTTTAATTATTTTACTCGGGTTTTTAGGCTACATCCACAAAATAAAAACAACACAAATGCCTTTGTATACCTATAGTGTCGTCATGAATAATATTTAAAGTCTTTAAAAAATGCAAAAACTGAATTTAAAAAACTGAAAATGTCCTCTTTATTATATTTATCAACATATTCCTGTTTTAATTATTAACGTTTTTATGTATTTGTTTGTTTTATGCGATCTTATCTCGTAAAAACTTAAATTAATTTTGATTTTAAGCTAGGGAAAACTCAAAACATATTTAATGAAATGCGTGTAATACTTGTACTGTTGTTAAATTATAAAAAAAAAAAGAGCATGTTAGCATCATCATCTCACTTTGAGTATAACATGCACATTTTTGTAAATAAACGACTTAAAACTCAGCAGTTTCAGTATTTTAGAGGAAAATAATTTCTACATGAATAAAATCCTAATCAGTTTAGATTTGAATATACGTATATGTTGTATTTTTACTGTTTTTATTTCTATATTATATGATCTTTACTTTTTTGCTATTGTGGTATACTCTTACAAAATGAAAATAAATAAATAAATAAATAAATAGATAAAGTAAAAGTAAATACATAGTACTTAAGTATGGCTATATATATAGTTAATGATGCACATATATACATATATAATACATATATAATATAATACATATACTTAAGTATGGGATATATATATATATACACCTATATATATATATATATATATATATATGTACACACACACATACTATTTAATTTGTACTCTTTAAAATAAATAAATAAAGTAAGTAAGTAAAAGTGAATACATAGTAATTTAATATGGGATGTATAGTATATACACCAATAATCACTTTTTTAAAGCTGTAATTAATCTAGTTGAAAAGCTAGTTAAGGGGTTTAACATTAATAGAATAATTTTTAGTTGAAATAGAAATGACATAGATTTGGAAATAAGTTCTATTTTGAAAACCTTTAAAAAAACATTTTTTTTATATATAGATTTATATAGACTTAGATGTCTTTTTTCATTTCTTGGAAGGTTAAACAGACTGTACTGTACCTGTGTGCCGCAGTGGTTTTCCTCTCTAAAGCTGATCCGAGAGCTGGGATTCTGGAGCGTTCCTGCTGGATCACCACTGGAATAGACCTTTACTGTGGAACAATGGAAGGTGATTGTGTTTGACCCGCGACCCCTGCTGACCCCTGCTGACCCCTGCTGACCTCACAGACTGTACAGACCAGACGGGGATTTCTAGAAATCGTGCTGGGTTTGTTGAATGGTTCTCTCTAGATGTTCAAGTACGTCGTCACATGAGTTTCACTGGCTCTCGCTCCCTGCATTATCTTTAGAAATGCAGTTATCACGGCTTTCTTTCAAATAAAGATGTTGCAATGCATTATTTTTTTAAATTATGAAACCTTTGGGAAAAACCTCACAACATACTGCTACTTTCAATGCCATCTTCTCTCTAATAATCGTATTTGACTTTGAATTTTGGGCTTAGAAATGAGACAGAAATATAGGAGATGTAAGATCTCAGTATAATACAATCATACACTTTTCATAAATGAATCAATAAAAACTGTTTTTAAAAATCTCTAAAATACTTTTTCTTTCAGGAAAAAATAACATTGTAAATTTACACAAATGTAACAAGTGTTTTTTTTAGGTATTTATTTTGTTTATTTATTTATTTGGGTATAGGTATAGACATAGGTATAGATAGAGAGAGAGATTCTGTAATTATTGATATTAATGCATGTCTTTTTCCTTTGGATCTGTCCATTTAAAAAAAATTAATCAGAAATGTAAACCCGTGCAAAAATGTAAAATATATTCTTTAAACCAATGCATACTATATTTATTGTAAATGATGATAATTTATTAGCCAGTGCTTAAATAAATAAATAAAAGTTATACAGTATGTAGATCCCATATTTATTTATTTATTTATCTCTTTATTTATTTATAATTTACGGTAAATTTTTTGTAAGGATGGAACCACAATTTAATAGTAAAAAATTAAAACCAAATTAATATATTTATTTAAATCTGTGGCAATTTAGTAATAGATGGATGGATGGATAGATAGATAGCTAGATAAATAGATAGATAGATAGATAGATAGATAGATAGATAGATAGATAGATAGAT